TGTATATGATTGAATACTACTATTAATTATTTTGAATTGATAATATAATTAACAAGAATGTAAAGATGATTTTTTTATTTCATTCTAAATAAATAGAAAAAAAAATTTAGGAATCACGGTAATAATAATACTACTAATACTACTAACAATAATGCACCCAGGATAATGTAAGTATAATATGATAATCAAGGTTTCTCTGATAACGAAATAGTATTACGATCTGTTACGACCTTTAATTATAGTAATCGTAATAGTAATAGGGCTGACAGCATAACATTATTATAAAATAATATTTTATCACCACGGAAAATCATCATACGTTCATACAATGAAATTGCACAACACTGACTATAATAATAACATATATAATACTACTACATAATAACAAGGGATTTAAATAAGCATATATAACATGATAATCAGATCTTTTCTGATAATGAAATAGTATTACGATCCCAGTTACAACATTTGGTAATCCATTAATTATATAATAGGTTTATCGGCTTAATAATAATATTATTATTATAGGATTTTACAAAGTAATTTTTTGTCACCGCAGAAAATCATCATTCCTGATACATCGTACATTCGTACATATGTAAAATTTCCTCGTACGGGTGTAATAATTAATGCAATAGTAAGTTCTAATTTCCAAGCTTTAAATATTTATTTTAGAATTTGTTTATAGAAAAGTATTAATTTTTTTTATAATGAAACATTTACCTAAATCGACATAATAATATATATATCACTGGATGAATTAAAAAGTTGTATCAAACAAATTTATTAACTTGGTGATATTTATTTAATATTTTCAAGCAAAAATGAATTCATGTGATAGACTTCTTTCAAGAATGGCTATAGACCTTGCTTTTAACACTTCAATCAACTGCTATATAACTATGAATAATTGATAAACCATTCATCAAGTATAACGATTTAAAAAGACTTTTATTTACATATTTAATAAATAATATTAATAATAAGAACAAATTATACTTGTAAAAATCAAGGTTTGTTTGTTATATTCACTCTCATGAATTCCGATGTATATAAGATCTAGATAATTGCGTAACAATTTTATATATTAATAAATAATATTAATAATAAGCACAGATTATACTTGTAAAAACCAAGATTTGTTTTTTATATATAAGCTAGTAATAGGCTACTTAACTTTTAAGCATTTCTATTATGAAAAACGTAGATTTTTTTTTTAGAACTGGACGATAATAATTGTATTTGTGTAAAGTTTATATTGAATGATGCAGATTAAAACAAATTCAGCAGCAACAATTGTGCCCTACAAAGTCACTTATAACTACTTGAAAAGTTGTGTTAGAAAAATTTTGACTTTAATTATAAGAGACTGATTTATAATTATTTATAGGTTATTAATTTATTATTAATTGATGATAGCAACACTATATAACAAGCGATTTTCAACCATAATAAAAATTTTAGAACCAGACTGGGACTTTTAACAACAGTCAAAAGAAAAGGCTAGCTTAAATTCTACTCTAGGTCGGAAGCGTTTCTTTTCTTCACACTTATTAAGATTTTCTTCAAACTATTATGCACTTGATCTGTGACTAATATATTTTCGGTGACAAATTTCGGATGTGATATATATTGATCGACAAAAAAAAAGGCAAACTACGCTCCCCTAAAAAAAGTATCGACTCACTTGATGATCCGCGAAAATAATCGGGTAAATGGGTAATACAAATACTCATTTTTTACTAAGCAAATCGATGTTGTGTATTAGTGAGAAAATGTTTAACGAAATGATTCTATAATATTCTAAAATACCACATCGGACCGATTGTTATTGATAATTTTATGATGTTTAAAAGTCAAATTAAAAATTTTCGAAAAAGTTGCACTTAGAGTTATTTTAAGATACAATGTTTTAACGCATCTTGGGAACTTAGAAAATGTTGTTTCATTTGTTTTCAATTATATAAATATGAATGTTCATAATTATTGGCAGAATATTCATAGAGAATTAATACAAAACGCAAAAAAAATCGTAACGAATTTCATCCACAATTTGCATAATATTTTACATAATAAATTTTTATTAAATTTATATCAAAAGTATCCAAAAAGTATAAATATTTGATTATTTATTCAATATTTTGTCGGGTTTCCTTTTGAATCAATTACAGCTTGAACCCTTCGAGGCATGCTGTCTACTAATTTTTGCAAATAATGACGATCAAGATTAGCCCACTCTTCCATCAAAAAAGAAACTAATTCATTTGTATTTTTTGGAGGATTCCTTTTGCGAATTGCTTTTTCTAATTGGTTCCAAGCATGTTCTATTGGATTAAGGTCTGGGCTTTGAGCAGGCCAAGGGAGTGAAGATATTAAATTCGCCTCTTTCCATTGAATATTACTACACCAGCTGTATTAACAGAAGCATTGTCATCCTGAAATGTAAAAAGAATCATCCCGGTCCATTAAGAAAGGGTAATAGATTACCTCTAAGAAGTTCTTGATAACCTTTACCGTTAATTTTACCATCTATTACCATCAAATGTCCTAGACAATTATTAGCAAAACAACCACATACCATTACACCCCCTCCACCATGTTTAAAGGTAGATACAAGGCAATCAACATCATACTTTTCTCGCGGTAGACGCCAGACCCTTTGTCTACCATCACTTTGATGCAAAGTATATCTTGATTCATCACCCCAAATGATATAGTTCCATTATGTGTTCCAATTATTCCGTTCTTTGCACCATTTTAAACGTTTCTGATGATTTTTTTCTGAAACAAAAGATTTCCTTAATGTAACCCGATTGTAATAATACAATCAATTGCACTACAGATAGAAGTGGACAAAGATTCATTTACTGAATCAGTAATTTGCTCAATAGGTTTATCTCGATTTTTTTTTTGGTAATTCTTTTTACTTGCCTGACATTACGATCATTTAAGGATGAAGGATTTCAACTTCTTGGAGCAATAGTAGTTTGATCTTCTCCTTTAAATGCTTGTATTGCACGAGTTACTTGTGACTAAGAACGATTGAGTGCACTAGCAATATTACGAGTGCTTTCACCCGTTTTCCAACGTCTAATTATTCTTCCTCGTTCAAAGTCTGTTAATTGAGACATGATGTTTTAATTAAAATAACAAATTGAAGGTTCAATCTAAAAAAAAAAATAATAATAATACAGCCGCAATTGCCATTTAAATTTTGTTCGTGCAATGATAATCATCTTGCATAAAAAAATATTTACGATTTTTTGCATATTAATATTAATTCTATAACGAAACAACATTTTCTGAGTTCTCAAGATGTGTTAAAACATTGTATCTTAAAATAGCTCTAAATGCAACTTTTTCGAAAAATTTTTAATTTGACTTTTAAAACATCATAAAATTATCAATAACAATCAGTCCAATGTGATATTTTAACATATTATATAGAATCATTTCAGCGAACATTTTTTCACAACGAGTATTTGTATTACCCGTTTACCAGATTATTTTCGGGGATCATCAAGTGAGTCGATCCTTTTTTTTTAGGGGTGTGTGTATGTGTTGTTCTGTTGTTTCAATTAACTCACATGTAAACTGTTTGAATAATACACATTGGATGCCATTAAACTGATAATTTGTCTGCAAGCAAAAACGAAGCATGAAATTGTTTGTTATGGTTCGAGTTAAGTGTGCTTGTGACAAGTGTAATAATAATAATACTGGATGTTAAAATCTACATAACAGAGTAAAGTTAATTATTTGATTGGATAGCATCCGAATGACGAAGCCTTTTCAACTTTTCTTCTGTGTGCTTTCACTGCAAGAAATTGATTTCGCTCTGCATATTTTAGGTTTTCATTAAATCCAATTTTAATATTTGTTATCATTTAAATAAACATGTTTACCTAACATATTATTTAATTATTAGAACGGATCGTTGAATTTATTGCATAATAATAAGCATATTATTATTAATATACAAACCTTTACGATGATGGATGAAAATGAATATAACTACAATAACAGTATATACAACATACAGATAATATAAAGAATATGAACCTAGTGAAGAATTAAAAATGTTTACAATATATATATAAGGGATCCACAAACAGTCAGAGCAATTTTATGTTCAAAGTTGATGGATAAAAAAATAATAATAAAATGATGTTTATCTTTTGGATCAGCTTTATATTACTCATGGACAAATACAAAGAATTTGTAATTGCTTGAATCAGTTTGCAGGCTTATGTTCTGAAGATTATACTGCATGTAAATTTTCATGCTCCGAATAGAAGGGATCTGGTTATTGGAAAAAAAATTCATTAGGGAATTTTGCTGACACATATAAATAGTACATCTTTCCTTGGCTCGTTTCAACGAGTTGAAGTAATCTGTTCCCATAGATTTTGAATAAAAGCTTTCGGTTATTTTTTGGAAATAATTTTATCAACTAAAATTTACCATCACATGTTTATTAATTCAATGAATGACGTAGAATTAAATATTTTATGATGTTCATTGTCTCCTAATTTCATCAAAAGTCATCAATATCAATCAACCTATATAAAGTTTTAACGGAAGTCTTCGTATTAGCATGTGAGAATGAACATTTTTCTCATATAATTTTACCATAAAAAAACCCTAATTCGTCATTTGTCGGATCGGAGTATAATTCATTCAGGTTGATCATTAAAAAAATGATATTTAAAACTCCACAAAAAATATTCTCAAAAAAAGAAGAAACTCCAAAATATTTTTTCGCACTAATTAAATATTCTTCCTTGGTAGTTGGTTTAAACACGAAGTAAACTTGATTTCTTCTTGACGAGTTTCTTCAATTCATTCTTTAAATATAAATATAAATATACATATATATATATATATGCATATAACATTAACATAGATTACTGTTGTAATTTTTTTTTTTGATTCCTCTTTACACATCATTATTTCCATCATATACATTCTCTCGCTTTTACATTATTTTTACATCAAAAATGACTAAATTATCATCAAAAGCATCAAAAGATAAATTTAAAAATGGTTCTGGTTCTTTATTTTCTGCATACTTGGCAAATATGAATATGCCATTAGGCACAATGGCTAAAGGATCTAAAGTTGGTTAGTATTGGAAAATTTTAATTAATAATAATTTATTATTTTTATATATATTTATTCATTATTATGTTTTGTTTTTTAAGAGCGAGAAAAAATATCCAAGGTCAATTTCGAAACTATATTTAGTAAAGATATACCGATTCCGGATAGCATGGTAAAACATTCACCTTCATATTAAAATATGGTTTTTTTTGCATGATAAGCACATGTCTAAAAAAAATTTTTTTTATTATAAAAATAGACAGCAGAACTTTTGATAAGATACATAGCCACAGAACATCAATGGCATGATGATCAAACAAGATCAGATATTTCAATTTTAATCAATAATCGACTTTCCACTGTCAAAGATCTTCGGGTACTGTCAAAAGAAAGTTGGAAGGTAAAAAAATTTGTTAATTCTAAACGAATGTATTTATTCGTTTATCTAATTATGCGTATACATTTTTAACAGCAATTAGAATTACTTCCATTTACCAAAGATTTACTTCGTGAAGCAATCAATCGCGGAAAACTATCTACTGGTATGTTATGTTATATCCATGTTTTCTTTAATTAAATAATTAATATATATATATATATATATATATATATATACATACATTAATTTTATAACAATGATAAAAATAATAGAGGAAGAATATTTAAAAAAGAAAGATCGTTTAGAAAAGCGAAAAGGAAGACGATTATCAAGAGAAACCGTTACTACATCCATTTCAAGCACCATAGAAATACTTGACAACACTAATAGGAATAGCATCACAATTAATAGAACCGATACCAAGAATTTCAAAAAAGAAGTAATGGATCCAATATCACCTTCTTCTAATGATGAACTATCCAACAATTTAGAAGTAACCAAGTATCCAATTCATTCTTCACCACAATCGCAATTACAACGATCACCAATTGTACCTCCAAAAGACTTCCATCACATTAACTACGAAAACATCAACAACGACGTTAAAAATGGTTTGCTGATTGACACAAATAAAAAAATTGCTACAAAAACCACTACAAAAACCACCACTAAAACAATTACAACTATATCAGATCCGGTATCCAAATTAGAGGATGTTAAACGATTCATGCCTGAACCTAATAAAATGCTAGTCGGTGAAGATAGATTAAAAATCAGGGCAGACGATGGAAAATTTTATGAAATTGACAGGTATTGTCCGCATGCTGGATCCGACTTATTTTCAAGGGTAAGTAAATACAAACGTTGGGGTGGGTGGAGGCGAGTGTAAAAGAGGAAATAGAGGAAATAAATTTAAATATGATATAAATAATAATTACAATTATATTCTTATTTAGGGTGCAATTGTAGGATCAAAACTTATTTGCTCGAAACATCGTTGGATCTTCTCTTTGGAAGACGGTGGTAACTGCCTATCTGGTGGTAAAGGATCCATTAATGCATGTTTAGTCAACAATTGGTAATCGTTCACATTAACGAATAATCAATTGATGATATTTAATGACCAAAACTTTTAATCAAAAAAAAATATAAAGTATTTTTAATAAGAGGAAACAAACTAGAACAAATCATTTTTTGTTGGTGTTAGTTTGTTAACTCATTCACTCATTATTTTTTTCCTGGCCTATTATTGTTTAATTTTTTATTTATTTATTTACTTGATTTATTATAAATTAATTATTTGCTATATTTATAAAAAATCAATAAATCTATAATATTTTAATTTTTCTATTGTGGAATCCTCCTCTTACTCCTCTCATTCCCCTCGTTCCTCTCATTATTCTTGCTCCCCTCGCCGATCCTGCCATTACTTTCACCCTTCCCATTTTTCCTTTGATTTCGCCTCCAAATAGTTTTCTTTGATTCCATCCATAAACATATTCTTTTCCGCCTGTTGGCCAGCCTTTACAATTACTGCCAGCATTAATGTTTTTGTTGTTCTCTCTTTTATTTAAAAGACCTTTTTTTTCTGCGTCTCTTTTCTTTTTGCTCTTTCTTCCTTTTTTATTCTTCCTGCTACCATCATCCTTGACCAAACAAGATACATGCATAACTTTATGTGGTTTAAAATTTCTTTCCCATGGGATTTTGGATTCTTTGATTACTTGTTCTGATGTTATAATTGATTCTTGTATTCTCCTTGAATATTCTTCTTCTGACTCTTTACTACTGTAAAAACAAAATTAAAATCCATCGGAAAATTAGAAAACTTTACGCCGACCAACTTGTCTATATGCTATGCACAATACACTTCTTACATTAAATACTTTTTAGCTTTATATTTCTCAATTGACGATTTGACTTTTTCATCATATTCCTTAATTTCTTGCGATTCAAGAGAAATCTTTGAAAGTTTGTCATGGGAAAATAATCTAAATACTGTATTTATGTATGTATTATTATATGTTAATGAGGTAAACATTGATCTGATAACAATAATTGTTTTTAAAGGAAATAGAAAAAATTAATTAATTAGTTAAATCAATCAAATTACATTGTTCATTATTATCTTGATGAATATCCATATCATCTTAATCTTGATCTATTTGTTAATAACAATAACAATGAATATAATCAATTGATAATATAACTAAAATTCATCACATATTCAAATGATTTTGCATTATTATTACCATTGTTTTCAATAATTTGAACATTTTCTTTCAATTTTTCAAATAAAATCTTTACTTTATCATCTTTATCCTCCTGCTCCTCCTCCTCCCCATAATCATTATAAAATAATGATTTACGCGATACCTGTTTAGTGTTTGGTGGTATACTTGAACTGTTTATATTTTTAATATGCAAATTAATTAATCAAATTAATAATAATAATAATTATCAAATTGAAATTTAAAAACCTATTATTATTCATTAGTATTAGTAAAAAAAAAATTACAGGAAAATTACGTCATCTCAAAATTGGAGGGTGGTTTAAAAAACTATTACTATTACTGCCAACTATTTACAATTTTAGCCTAGGAATTAAAGTCGCTTTTAAGGCTCGCTCATTCTAATAACTTGAAAGTACGTTCTTCGTATTTAAACAAATAATCATATTTGAAAAAATATTTACTCAAGTTTTGTCATTTTAAAAAAAAAACCCCCCGTAATACTCTTTTATATATATATATATATATATAATGAATCGAATTGTTAATATCTAACCCAAAATTTCTTGAACCAAGGCTTGATAGAGTAAACTCCATTTAAGCTTAATTCATCGAATGTTTCAAGAACTTGAGGAATCCGAGTTATTTGCAAAATGATTTAATTGTGAAAAAAATTGAATGGCTTCAACAAAACTCTATTTATCGTCGTCAAAATACCAACCATCTTACCTCAAGATCATTGTAATAATTATGAAATCTAATAATCTCAAAAATATTGTAAAAACAGTGCGCAGCGAAGATAGACACTTGGGGTCAAAGTTTGCCACATGGGGAAGATGAAAATCAAGTCGAGTTAGCTTTTTCCAAATAATAAAAGACGTAAATTGAAAAATGATCATTTGATTGAACCGAAAAATTCCTTCTTAAAAGATACCATGCCATTAATAATATTTGTTAAAAAAGTTATTGTCAAAGTAATTAATCCATTCCCTGTAAAAAAACCGATCCGTGATTTAAAATTCTATATTTTCCAGACAGACCTTGCCACTATTGGAAACTTCCACAAGTATTTATTCAAATAACAGATTTTTTTTTTTTTTTTTTTTAGGGACTCCAAGAGCAGGCAAATGGAATTTATTAAATTTTAAGATAAACCTTTGGATGTTTAGCTAGATTGATAAAAAAAAAGACGTGCACTTCCCGGAAGAAAGTATTCCGAACCTCGTTTATTATTAATTGTGCATAAAAAAAAATTTATAAAAATATTATCATGTAGCTTAATTTTAACAAGGTCAATTTGATAAATGACAAAAAAACGAAGAGATGCCCAAATTACAGTGAGCAAATATTTGGGGCTATTTTAATCGCCCAATCGAGCATCGTTTGGATGAACTTGAAAAACGATTAAAAAAAAAGCAGACTTCCTAAAAATCTCAACGGATTCGAAGATTTCCTATCGTCCAAGATCCCTCAAGAAATTAATAGAAAGCATGTTTTTTTGTTATTATCTTGCATTTTTTTACGGTTAAAGAAATTTTATGCGATGCAATCTCTATTTGAAGTAACATTAATGAAATACAAGAAAAAATTTTATAATAACGAATACCAAGTAAAATCTCTCTCTATAACAGAAAAATTACATGTAAGAACGGAAGGTTTGTTATAGAGAGTGTGAACTCTAGAGAAAATAAATAACAATTTCATTCAAACAACAAATTTCATTTTTGAATTTCTCTTGTCATTACCTGTTCTTGCATTATTGTATGATAAGTTTGAAATAATGCGTAAATTGCTAGCATTGCTGTTTCTATTACTTCGTTTTGAGTTTCGTGAATTTTGAAATTGATTGTTTTATTAGTTTTTTGATTTATATTACAGAACTGGTTGTAATTTTTATAATGATGAAAAAGACCCCAATTAATAAGCTACGTGGTGAAGGTAAGCATTTTTGCTAAATTGGGGGGTATCAAGAAAAAAGTTATATGCAGTTTATTTTTTAAATTAATAAAGATTTATTTACAATTGTAAATATCAAATAATAGTCATGGGTTATGATTTTTGATATTATTAATAAAAATTTTTTATTTGAATTCCTATAAATGTTTTTGTTCTGATTCTTGAAGCTGAATGTCAAGAGCGTTAAAAATAAATCGAACAAAATATTTACCCTCTGGTTATTATAAAGAAAAAAAAATGCATTTTTTTGTCAATGGGTTCAAAAATTCAAATTTTGCTTGAAACCTAACATAATCTGAACAATTTCAATAATAATATTGAATAGTATTAAAATCAGAATTATTTTGCCCCCCCCACACAACTATAGTTGGCTCGCTCTAAAGACCTCCTAAATTTTGCATAAATTTAAAAGTATAGAAGTTGTTTTCTGTCCTATCTTTTTAAAAAATAGTGTTATTAATTGGTAGAATAGAGCTTTAATTTTTAATGTAATAAATATTCTTTTTAGTACATGTAGCATAATGGACACTCATTTTGTGCAACAGTCATTTGTATAATAGTCAGGTGGTTACACAGAGCCCGTTGCTTCTGAAACTTCACTAGAATATAGCTGTAGCCTCTCTAAGTCCAGATCATCAGCAAGATCAAAATTATCTCACACTTTTATAATCAAACTTTTGCAAGAACTTTCACCATAACATATGTTATGTTGATCATTTTTTTGTGATCTGCAACAGTGTCCACTATGCTAGTACATGTACAGTATTTTAGAGGAATTTGGTCACTAGATCATTACCTAAATTTAGACTAACTCACGGCTATCATATCTAAATTTGGAAGTAAGAAATAATTTTAAAAAAAACCTAAATCACGTGAAGTCCTATTTTTTTGAAATTTGACCACATGGCACAGCAATAGAGGGTCTTTAGACCGAGCCAACCATATCAGAAAAACAATATTAGTGAAACAGGGACCCAGACCTGTAAATATTGTATTTAACGAGCATTTAAAAATATATAAATAAGAAATTTGAGAGATAATGAACCAATGATACCTGACGAAATGTAATTTACCGCAAAGAGTATATTGACGAAAAGGAAAAGTTGACGAAAAAAAAGAGTTAATGAGAGAGAAAAATATAAGAAATAATAATTTTTATTTAAACTTGTTTTACATTTTAGATTTAAAATATTATTTTAAGAGAAAATTTAATAAATTTTTTAATTTTTACCCTTTTGTCCGAGTAAATTACGTAAACTATGTTTCTTCTGGTTTGCATTTTTTTCTAACTAACTTGTGAGAATTATTATCATCATCTCCATTTGTATTATTTCCAGAATTGTTATCAATTTCATTACTTGTAAGACTGTTATTAATATCAATATCATAAATTCTTGTTCTAAATAATTTTTTCTATCAGTTTCATTGACTTCACAATAATCACGAAAGTAACTATTTTTCTGAATTATGTTCACTTTCAAATTCATCTTCAACAAAGATATCTTTTATTAAATCTTTTGGATCATAATTATTATTATTATCAGAAAATTCGTAAATTGATTAGTTTTGATCATCGTGTGACATTTTAATGAATATTAAGTTTAAAGAAAAAATTTTGTTAAAAAAATTTTTTAATATCTCCTTTTCGTCACATTTCGTCAATTTACCACATTTTACCATTCGCAAATGTGACGAAAATAACAATGATTTGACGAAATAATTTCCCGCCTACAAAAACATTTCGTCAGGTATCATTAACTCCCTGACCATCTTTCAAACCAGTTTCGATTTCATTAAAACTAGTTTCGAATAATTTCTGAACTAATTTTGAGCTTCAAAAGGCAATCCTATTGCGTCACTATGACCAAATATTCAAGGATTATTTTTGCATATGTGCCAATTATTACGGTGTTATGTATATCAATACTAATACTGTAATCTACAGATTTACGGTTTCGATCCAACTATAATTATCAATTCCATAATATATACATATACACGTATATATATATATATATATAAAATAATAGTAATACAAATTCAAGCATCTAAAATAAACTGTGCTAAGGAGGATTCGTTAGAAAGCTATAACGATAGATGCTCTAAATGTAAAGCGATAGTTATTCAAAAACAGCATTATTTTTCACTTAAAAGCCAAAAACTTTCTCCAATATTGTCTTTATAAATTGATGAATGATTGAAAAGATGTAAAATATTATAAGCTTTTCGTGTGGGGCATAGCTTTACGTGGATGATAAATTTATTTACACAAATAGGAAAAGATGTGGGCGGGAATCATTAGTCGTAATTATACTGACCAAAAAGAGATAATTATTTTCCAACGATAATTGGCCTCCCTAGGAGTAAAATTAAGGTTTGTGGCTAATTTTACAATCCTTTTGTTGAACGGCACAATCTGACGTACACATATATGAATTAATACGTGATATTAATATCATGTAGAACCGCAGATTTTTCCCTAATGCTAAATGTAATTATAAAGGATCGTCAAATAAAATTTTGGGAAAAAACACTTGGAAATCGTTGAATATAAATATTATATAGTTGGCTCAGTCTAAAGACCTCCTAAATTTTGTGCAAATTTTAAAAGTATAGAAGTCATTTTCTGTCCCATCATTAAAAAAAATAACTATTATTTGATAGAATAGGTATTTAGTTTTAATATAATAGAGAGATTTCCTCAAAAAAATTATTTGTTGTAAAGTTCTATTCTTTTTTAAGGCATGTACTTTACTACTATGTTCATGAGGCTAGAATCATTACTAAATTTAGACTAATACTCGACCATCATATCTAAATTTGGCAGTAACGAAAAATAATTTTTTAATATTAATATTAATTTTTTAACCGAAAAATTTTTTTTTAGCATTTTTGAACGAATCACGAAATCACAATTTTGGAAATTTGAGCGCGTGGAGCAGCAATATGAGGTCTTTAGACTGAGCTAACCATATTAAAAATGGAAATGTGTATCATACTGAAGGCAAACGAGTGCCATACTGAAAAAAATTTTTTTTTTGAATAAAGGAGTATCATTAACTATTTAAGTATATATATATATATATACGCACTTTCCAACAACCACGTGAGATTCATTGTTGATTTATAAAACCAAGGGATGGATGCGTAAAGGGGCTAGAGTTCTAATCTGATAATAATTATCTTGACTAAACTTGACTTAACATAATGACTAAATAGTTTAGTCAGTTTAGTCAAATGTTCATTTAGGTTCTCAACAAAATAAATATATTTAGAGCGATCACCTGATTTATGGAATTAAAATCTTCAACAGCAACTTTTAAGCCATTATAATAAATCTTCTATCTATTATAACCCTCTAAATTTAGCTTTCTTCTTCGAAAAAGATCGCAATAATTATTTTATTAAAACAAATTTCAAAGAAAGCGTCATTTGAAATATTTTAGCCTTGTATAAATACTACTACTATATGATCATGTTATAAATTATAATTTGATAATTATTTTGTTTTTTATATGTTTATATATATGCTATAAATGTATTATTGGTGGTGGTAATATTATATAATATAAAATGAGATATTATTATTATAAAGATGATATGAATTTTATTCTCATAATATACTAATCGTCATCAATTGCCCATCTAGTTGGAGAAGTCGCCTGAACATTATTGTTGCTATGGTTTGATATTGGAGGAATCTGGACTGAATCAAACGTTTGAGTCGTTGATATTCTTGGTGATTGATTTGTGTCGTGTTGCGGTAATTCAGCATTCACTATAAATAATAAAATTACTTGGTTAGTTAATTATTCACCGAAATGAAATTTATGATTGATTTACTTACTATGTTTTTTCAGGCCTAGACCAAAGTTATTTAGTACAAATATTCCCCATATAAATGTGAGCTAACAAATAAATAAAAGAATAAATAAAATTTCGGTGATAATTTTGTATGATCATATCATTATAATTTTAAGATTTTTACTTACAAGAGACATTACTATACCAGACACGACTAAATCGACAATAATAATGGTGTATAATGATTTAATTATTGCAAAATATAAATCAGTAAAGTGTTAAGTGGATGAATGATTTGATCGATACAGATGAGATGAATGGAATGAATGATCATTGTCACACTTACTATAACCTATGAAGAAAAACCAACTATCTTCACGAGCGGATTTTATTGAGAATTTCAATATCATAATGAAATCTGCTAATGTTATTATCCATGTGGCTATAAATATTTGCATCCCTATTTTTGATTCTCGATGAAGCTAAAATTAAATAATTTAATAATTATCATTATTATTATATAGTATTATTATATAATATGATGATAAATTATTGCTAAAACAACCAATTACTTACTGAACGGAACGCCAATATTTGTAAGAAGACTATAAGAATTGTCACGAAAACATGTAACCAATACAGAACAGGAGGATCAAGATATTTTGGATCATCAACGGCTTTGTATGAGAATGCAGTGCATGCTTGAATTGCCAACACAATCATGAAAAAGACATCAAGTTTCAACAACATTACGAAAATAAGCATCGTTTTATAAATGCCTATTAATGATAAAAGAATGCGTGAAAATTCCTTCTAACAATAGTAATTCAAATATAATTCTTAAAAAGTTGACAATAGATGGGATAATTACTTTGCATTCTCAAATCTGCGCCAATTTTTTTATAAATATTCCAACCAAATTGTTGGTATAATTTCCAAGTGAAATAAGCCATCGTAGTTGCACTCAGTAATGATATTGTTATTAATGGAATTTCGTACCGTTCAAATTGGTTTTGAAATATATAAGCTGGTTTACATTCTTCTGCATTTGCTTTCCATTTATTTATTTCGATAATTTGTACCTAGAAAAAAAAAAGGTAAAATTTAGATGAATTTGATAACATAGACATTATTATATTATTATTACTTACGATGGCAAAAAATCCAACAAAATAATTTATTCCTGCTAAAGTTAATAATTGAATAACGTTTTGATAATATATCTAATAAATAAATACAATTAACATAATTCGTATCATCGATTCAAAATAGATACTAGTATGATTAAACTTAATAATTACCGCATTATAACTGAACCAAAGTTGAAAAAAATTAAATACTATGAATATTGTATTTTCGCCTACAATATTAGCCATTCTATTAACAATGATATTCGTACATGTTTCATTAACAGATTCTGAATTAGCTGTGAACCTATCATTTGCATATTTGTTTCGAGTTAATATTCTTATTTCCAATGCTATTGCAAGGAATGCCTGTATTATTGATGCAATTAGAAAAAATAATGTCCATTTGGATTCTGTTACCCTCTCATACTAAAAGAAATAAGGGTAAGGGTAAAGAATCAGGATAAGAACAAGGATAAGGGATAAGGGATAAGGATAAGGATACGAAATAATGATAAAAAAATGGTAATAATTGTTAGAGCAAATATTTCATTAATTTAATTAATTGACATTAATGAAAACATTTTACCCTCTCAATCTTACATTCTTTATAGCAAACCTTTTCATTTTCCCTATCAAAAATTGTAAATTATTATTTACATTTTTAGAATTAACTTTACTTATGAAATCTAACATTACTAAAGTGTAACTTTTAATTAATTAATAATAATAATAATCAAATTATTATTATTATTTAATTATTATTGACGTTAAAAAATTTGGAAAAATAAAAATTTAAAAATGAAATATAATTAATTATTGTATGTTTCGTATTCATTTATTTATATATATATTAATATATATATATACCTGATTAAAAATTTTAAGATAAAAATTACATTGTAGTTGAAAAAATAGAAAACTTACCAATCAATTTATTATTTATACAAAATTATTACTATTATGTAAATAATATATGAGGGAAGTTCATTATATAAAAGATCATCATATGTCATATAGCTTATTTAAACTTTTTATTTATCAATTATATTGTGAAAAAATGCTATTCATTTAAAATATATATATGTATTTTATACATTTCCCCGTTAATTTAATTATCTAACTTAAATTTATTCTGAATAGTATCGTGTGACCATGGCAATATTAATTATAATATTAATATTAATGTAAATACGAATTTAAAAAAATTTTACAATCTTATCCAAAACTGAAATATGAAGTCATTCGGAGATATGTCACTGGCAGGCTAGAAAAAAGTATTTAATTTTAATAAAAAAGTTATTCCTCTTCAGGATATGGTCGCAAACTGGTGCTCATCCTTAAAAGCTAAGTCAACGGGATGGCTCTTTAGATAGACTAGCTCCTTTCCAAGATGTACATTAAAGGACTCGAATTTTTCTTGATGCGTCTGCACGTTTTACTAATACTAGTACTAATAATGCTTGCTGTATTCTTCGGTGCGAACGACAATCTTGTACCATGGGATACTCGTGGGATTAAATTGACGAAAATTTGCCTTGCAGATTTTTTTAGAAGGTATCAACTAAAGCCCTAACTAATCATTGATAGAGAGAGCCTGTGATATATTACGGAAAATACAAGAGTTGCTCGCTTACACACAATACGCTTTATTGTGTGGGCTGTCTTGAGTTCAGTAGTGGTAATCTTGTTTGTGTAATAAAAAAAAGTGATAAAATTTCTTTTTTTAAAGATCACACCCGCGTAAGGTCTTTTGTAGTACCTTTCAAATTTATTTTAAATTTTTAATTTAATTTATTTATTTTTAATTAATATTTTTGAAGAAAAAATTCAAATAGAAAAATTAAAAATCTCAACCAATAAATCTTTAGAATGAGCAAAATGAGATTAAACTCTAAACATAAAACTAGCAGGTCATTTATTAATTTTATGACCCCAAAAATTCAAGTTGATGAGGTTGTTATTGACACTCAACCAATAGAAGAAGAACCAACCCGGCCAACCGTTGTTATTACTACTGATGTTGGCTCAACGCCTCCAGAACTACCCGAGAAATCTCATAAAGATGTATTAATATCAGAAGCAAGAATTTCTGCTAAAAAATGTTTTGAAGAAGACGAGTCTTTTATAAGAAAAGAATTAATAGCTGAATTCTTGGGCGGAAAGTAAGTTCAGATGGTTTATAACGCAAATGATTTTGATTTGTAAATTTTCAATTATTATTATTTCATACACGTTGATTTATATAATTATTTGACTTCTTTTTTATATAGCAAAAAATTAAATTCCTTGGCTTTAAAATTTTATATGGACTATTTTGATTTCTCCAATCTACGATTAGATGTAGCATTTCGGTTTGTCATCACTCACATTTATTAGTTGTGTAGATAGATGGATTAAATTGAAAGAAAACAATCAATTAATTTATTTATTTATTTATTTTAAAGACATTTATGTGGTAAGTTATATATAAAAGGTGAAACTCAACAAGTAGATCGCATATTGGAACGATTTTCGATACGTTATTGGGAATGTAATCCAAAATCTGCTTATGGCAGTTCTGGTAATTTGTTTTTTATTTTTCTCAAAAAAAAATTTTTAAAAATAATAATAACTAACATATACATATATTTGTACTAATAAATGATACGTATAGATATAGTACATGCCATTTCATATTCTATTTTATTACTAAATACTGATCTTCACATTGCCCAAGTGACCAGCAAAATGTCAAGATCTCAATTTATTAGAAACACAATGTCAACTGTTCATGCACAAGCAAATCTATCGGCACAAAATAACAATAGTGTTAGAGGGTCCTATGAGGATGATTGTAGTACTATCACCTCAGTTGAAACTTCAAACAATTCACCCACTTCCTCATCGGCAACAACATCACCGTTACCATCACCATTACAATCACCGTCATCATCACCGTCGCCATCACGTCCACGTCGTAGCGAAAGTATTAGGAGTTGGCGGAGCAATACAAATTTAAGTTTAACAAATTTATCATTTGTGCCTAGTGGTTTCTCGAGACAATGGGATGCGGAAATAGAGAGTTTATTGAAGGAAATATATGCTGCCGTTAAAGCAAATCAAATCTTACAGCCATTTATTACTTCGAATGATAATGACAATCATGATAATAATAATAGTTTTGGTGGTTATCATAACCATTCAGATTCATTATTATCTTTATCATCATATAAACAAGGCAATAATGCGCTTGCATTGCAACGTAGCATTAGCAAAATAAGTCGTCCTAATACAAGATTGGCTGCACTTAAAAAAGGTATAGCTTCAAATATTAGTTCTAAAGAGAATAATAGTCATCATAGTAATAAAGATTCCTCCAAGAATACAAAACTTTCTCCAAGTCCAAGTTTTGCTAGTGGAAGCAGTGGTGATATGAACAATAGTGTAAGTAATATTGTTCTTTGGTTGTTTTGAGAACTATGGAAAAAAATTTTGCTAACAACAGTTTTGATTCTTATTTCTTTTATTAGAGAAATAGTTTATATCGTTCAAATAGTTCACAAACTTTACCAACAACCTTATCCTCGTTTTCATTAAGACATGCATCATCATCAGAAACAGTTTTCACCTCCACAATAGCAGAATCAGCAGACGAAGGTAATTATAATAGCACCAGCTTCAGCTATAACAAAAACATTAATGACAATGACAATGATGCCGATGATGATGATGATCAGGTATCAGTTTCTGACTCGGTTTCAACAAATGAATCATTAGAATTGTATTTATCAGGTGCACCATATGCAAAAGAAGGTTTATTGTTTAGGAAACATTTTTGGGAATCATCAAACAAAAGATCAAAAGATAAGAATTGGAAAGAATGTTTTGTTGTTGTGGAGAAGGGAGAGTTGAGACTTTATAAATTTGATTCACATGGTTCTAATAGTTCTGCTGGGGTTGGTGCCATGGGTGGTGGAAATTGGATGGTATTATTTAAAATTAAATTTTTTTTTATTTTTAAAAAAATTAGTTATTAAAAATATTTAAATATTAATATTAATGTTTTTATTTGAATGATAATAATTATAGGAAAATGCAACAGCATTGGGCGAAATAAATCTATGTCATACAATAACAAATTCACTTCCACCACCAGGTTACAATAGGTCACGTCCACATGTTTTTGCATTGTCAATACCAAACGGTGGACTATACTTTTTCCAGGCTGGTACAGCTGAACTTGTTGAGGAATGGGTGTCTACATGTAATTATTGGGCAGCTCGTACAAGCAAGGAACCGTTGACAGGCGGTGTTAGTAATATAGAGTATGGATGGGGTAGATGTTTGGCATTGGACGATGATGACAATAATATTAATGACGATAATAAAAGTATTATGAGTGACATGCGAAGTACTATCAGCTTTAATTCTATGATGCATCCTAATTCTGGCGCTAGTCATAATAAAATTTTTATTCATGAGTGGAAACCACCGTTACCACCTGGCGTTTCGAGCGTTTTAGATGAGGTAAATTAGAAAAAGTAAAAAGGAAAATGACAAGTTATTTGAGAAAATGCAATACTAATAATCATATGGGTTTTTTTCAAAATAAAGGATTCACAACTTGCAGCTCTTAAAAAATATAGGGCCGATCTTGAAAATGATTTAGAAGAACATAAAAATTATTGGGAACCAATGTCCAAATTGGTATTTATTTTATAAAATTAGTAGCATTTATTTATTTTTGAGAAAGTAAAATTGAAAACATAATTAAAAAAAATTTCTAATATGTTACGTTATAGTTCACACCACGATCAACAAATAATTCAAAAGCTTTTACAAATTGGGAAAAGAAATCACAATGGCTGTTGTATGAAATAATCAAATACAGCACTTATATTGAAAGTCTTGAGAATTCTATATCATTAAAACTACGAAGACGAAAAGAAAAAGAATCGCCATCACCATTATTACCCGGTAAAATTTCAAGTGAAGAAGAAATTAAAAAGGAGCAATCAAGGGCAGAGTTTAGAGCTAGGGCACGTAAATCTGTTCAAATGTTACATAGAGCTACGTGGACACCTGGTGATGGGTTTTCATTAAGCTTACCTAAAGAATTGCTGTTTGGTGATGCATTAGATGATGGTATTGGAGGCAATGGTAATAAGGGTGATAGTAATGGCAGTCTATCGGACAATGGACCAGATCGCTGCCAAAAAGGTACATCGTATCCAACGCTTGAAATGAGGGGAGTTGTCGAGGAGGAAACAAAATTAGGCAATATAAGAGATTCGGATTATGGGCTTGGGTATAAATGGGTCGACAGATTTGGATAGCTGTAATATTTTTTATAGTGTGATTTTTTTTTAATTGTATAGTTGTAATTTTTTTATTTATGATAGAAATTATATTTTTATGTAGATTTAATTATTAATTTATTAGTTATTAATTAATTTTAATTTGTTTATTTAATATTTATTTATTTATCTAATAACACTAATTTATTCAATTAAGTGTCACATATTCGCAATGTAATTCTTAATTGCCACATTTTCTAATTTGTTTGGTGATAGTAAAATACTGTTGCAGATAATCGCGGGGCCAAATTTGTCCGCGATAGCGTTAAAAGGGTTTTTGTTTGTATGGAGAATTTAATGTTTTATCGCATATCGAAACAAGGTCAGAAACCGGTAATTGTTTGGTATGTTACATTGCTTGGCATGCGTACTTCCATATTAGAATAGTGTGAACTTTAACGATAAAGGTTGTTATGACTAAGCGCGAAATTCCTTTTGATTGGCCAATTTAATTTTCACGTACGCAAAAATTTGTACCCGAAAATGTTGTGCAATCGGTGATATAACAATGTCGTCGTCTAAAAGAAGTAGATTTTACTATCTATCATGGCTGGGAGAATTAATTTTGTGTAAAATATGATTCAAAAGCTTGCAACAGTACAAATCATAATTTATAGTAAACAATCATCCAAAAATCCGCTTATATACACAAAATAAATTATGGTTACATTTATTTTATTAATTAATGATAACTTTAAAGATAGGTTGAACTTCTTGAAAGATGTGACGAATTAATTAGAATTAATTAGAGTTTCATTAAATCACCACCAATCATGGGAAAAAATTTTTAATGAATTAATGATCCAGGATTATTTTTAAAATTTAAAATGAGAGATATTGATATTGGAATTATGGGAGAATAGGACAAAATGAAGAATTGTAAAAAATTATTATTATAAAGATTAATTGAAAAATATGTTGAATGATTATTTTTCCATCGGTAAGGTTACTTTGACTGACTGATTTTAATGATACAATCAAACCTAGAAAACTTTTATAAAAAAAAGCATGCAAAGAAATCCTTGGTTATTTATTATATTGGAATAACTGGCAACCAAGGTTATTACAGTTCACTCTCTCTATAACGGCCCGCCTGATTTGCAAAAAAAGGCTGTTATAGATAGAGACCGTTATATGGTTGGCTCGGTCTAAAGACCTCCTATTGCTGCGCCACACGTTTTTCAAATTTCAAAAATTGCAATTACGTGATTCATTTCAAAAATGCAATAAAATTTTTTTCTTACTGCCAAATTTAGATATGATGATCGAGTATTAGGCTAAATTTAGTCATGATGATCAAAAACTAGTCTAAATTTAGCAATGATCCTAGCGCTCAAATTTCTCATGAGCATAGTAAGGTACATGTTTTAAAAAAGAATAGAACTCTACAATAAATAATTTTTTGGAGAAAATCTCTTCATTACATTAAAATTAGAAACCTATTTTACCAACTAATGAGGCTATTTTTTTAAAATGTAGGACAGAAAATGACTTTTATACTTTTAAAATTTCCCAAACTTTAGGAGGTCTTTGGACCAAGAGAGTTTGCAGATCATAGTCATGTGATAAATTATAATGTGATACAATATAAAGATTTTTATTTGTACGATAAAATATAAATGAAATAAATGAAAATAAAAAAAGCTATCTAGTGTGGATTGTTGTTGTTAAAATCAATTTTTTTAATTTTTCTTTTAAGACTTTTCAATAATTTAAAATCGTCCTCATTTAATTCTGATTGTTTGTTGGTCAATGTAAATTTCTAATGTTTTTATTGTTGACAAGGCTTCTTTATTTGTAACAGGTGGAAGTTCTTCGATTATTTCTTCCTGGCTTTTATTTTCCTTTGATGGATTAATTATTGTAACTATGTCACTTAGATTATTTCATCACTTACATGAGAGTCATCAATTTCAATGTATTCAGACACAGATATAGGATTAGGGAGTGCAAGTTCATTAATCAAATTTTGCAAATCATTGAGCTTTCTAACATTCAATAAATTTAAAATTGATGACATATTTTCAATTTCGTTGGAATTAATATCATAATCAGGTGATACCAGTTTTTTTCCAGCAGCTAAATATAGTTTGACTGGTAACTTTTTTCCAAGCTTTTGCTGTAAATTTAATTGCATGTTTTAATTGAAATTTTTTCATATTCTTGACCATTTCTCACTTCTTCATAATCACCAACTTTTTTTTGCAAGAAAAATTTTTTGTAGTTCACCTTGAAGCTGTTGATTATCCCGGCATTACATTGTTGTAAAAATGTTGTTATGTTTGGTGGTAAGAAGTAAACTCTTACATTAGTTAAATTTGTTGAATTCAGAAATAGAGTGAGTGGGAGTATTGTGACAGACAATAAGCGCGTTCAAATTATTAATAAATAATTGAGTGTGACACACTCAATTTCTTAATTTGGTAATGATTACCTCAGATCATGATCGTCAACCGTTATAGACAACATATGATAATGTCCAGACTGGCCGTTATACACTATAGGAAATTTAATTAAGAAAACCGTTATAGAGTAAGGTTTTTATATAGTAAAAAATTGGTTTCTGATTTACAGTGCGTTATAGAATGGAGGCCGTTATAGAGAGAGTGAACTGTAATAATAAAATTAGTGCAACATTTTGAATGACCATTATGCTGCACAAACCTCAAGACCAATAAATCATTTCGACCACCAAATTATTTTCCATTTAATTATTAAGAATAGATTACAATGGTAAATTTTAAGATGATCCGGCTCAACTAATTAAAGCACAAAATCAAATAAAGCAACCAGCCATTCATTCATAAACTTTATCAGATAATTTCAAACAAGCAAACTTAGAGCAATCAAGCAATCGCTGCTTTTTAAAAGATTATCGATCCTTTCGTTGGCTCTTTCGGCTTTCTTTTTCGCTTGCTTGGTTTCTTCTTTGTTCCGTTCAATTTGCTCTTCTGAATTCTTAATTTTTGGCTATGTTTCTTTAAGTTACTCACATTCACAATCAATAACAGTTTACTCAAACAGTGGAGTGTTTGATATATTACCAATTTTTATGCAATTTAAAGGCTTTATCTTTAGTATATTCTGGCATCAAAACCGAATATTTGAAAGATACTTTATTGCCAAATCTTGAATCTATGACATTATATATCCATAATCCATTATTTATATCAGACCTATTTGATTTTATTAACAATAATGAAAAAAATCTTAAATATCTAAATCTTGATGATGTTCGGAATAATGGATTTTTGGAAATATACTTCAATTAATTGCACAATTTTGTAAAAATTTAGTACATTTATCAATAGTTTATGAGGATGGTGCAGTGATGAACTGTGCTGATAATCCTGGAGCCAAAAATTTATACGTTATCTCAGTTAAAGGTATTCATGCTAGTTTGAATAGATTACTTGCAGCTGGAGTTGGTGATATGGTTATTGGTAACTGTTAAAAAAGGAAACCTGATTTAAGAAAAAAAGGTAAAATTAATTAATTATATATATGGGGGCTTTTCAATAGGACGGACCATGTTGTAAAAATGATGTTTTGAGGAAATCAAAAAAAGACCCGCATTTTAAGAGGTTTACTCTCGTTTTTGAAATTTTAAAGAAAAGTATCTCGATATTTTACTATGCAAATTGGGAATGGTTTCTAAGCCAAAAACGTTCTACGCGAGGAATTGCATATAGCAATGGTATTAACTCAAAATTGCTTTTTCACAACGTCCGTTCTATTGAAAAGCCCCCATATATGAAATTATATCCTCATTTAATTATATATAATAATAATAATGTTATTTTTATAATGTTATTAGGCAACGAAAACCTTGGAGAAAAAGAGATGGTGTTTTTCTATATTTTGAAGGTAAACAAATAAATTCATTTTTTTTAATATATTGCTAAAGCAATATAATTTACGAAATAAATTTTTTTTAAAGATAATGCTGGTGTTATTGTAAATGAAAGGTTCAGCTATTACAGGTTCAGTGAAGGAATGTGCAGATCTTTGGCCACGTATAGCTTCTTCATCTGGAACTGTGGTACGTTTTTAAGGATAATGGTTGTTGGCTGTTTTTTAATTATAAAAAACTGATTATTAATCATAAAATTTTTTTCTCAATAATATAAAGGTATAAAATGCTATATTACTAAATTAAGTAAATTTATTTAAAAATTTTATTATGCAAAAGTTGATGTTTTTATAAATTAATAAAAGCCGTATAAATTGGGAATTTATTGGTTTTTGTCACATTAAGTTAAGGATTTTCAGATTTTATCATGAATTTTATTCCAAAAAAAAATTTAACAAAAAATCATTGTTAGCTTTTAATCTTTTGTAGCCATCTTTGACAATTTGTGTATAAATAATATAAATATTTATATGTATATTCTTTGCATTTAATTAAAAAAAAAACTTGTATGATGTATGTATTATTATTAATATATAATATAATATATAATATAAAAAAATAATTAAAAAAAAATATAAGGGAGGGCAAAACAAAAAAGGACTCCTTTATATGAATGAAAGAAAATTTAAAAAATAAAATAACATTAATAAAACCAACACACCACACCCTATGAAGCCTTAGAATAGAATCCCGAAATTTTTTTGTGAAATTATATTATTATTATTATTATTAATTATTATTGTGATATTTTTAATAAGATAAAAAGAACTTGCAATAAAAATAATGAAAAAAAGAAAGATATTAATTTTACACACAGACTCACTCACACTTGATGTAAATAATAATTGGGGGCAATATGATATATAAAAATGTTAAAAAATGATGTATGTATAAAAAAATTATTTTTTATTAATATTAATTAATTTATTTATAAAATTGCTACTTAGATTCTTCTGCTTCAACTTCTGGTTTGGCGTCGTCTTGTTTTTCTTCTAATTGTCGTATAAGTGATCGTTAATAACAAATTGTATAAAATCATTATTTTTTTTTAAAGGACGAAAGATATTTACCCTCTTGTAAGTCAGAAGTCCAAAGAGTTAAATTATCTCTTAACAATTGCATAATTAATGTGCTATCTTTATAAGACTCTTCACTTAAAGTATCAAGTTCAGCAATAGCATCATCAAATGCTTGTTTAGCAAGATGACATGCACGATCAGGTGAATTGAGGATCTCATAGTAGAAAACGGAAAAGTTTAGAGCAAGTCCGAGGCGAATTGGATGAGTTGAAGGCAAGTCTGTTTGAGCAATATCAGTGGCATGTTTATACGCTTCATGTGCTTGTGTTGCAGCTTCTTTTCTTCGTTCACCAGAGGCAAATTCAGCAAGATATCGGTGATAATCACCTTTCCTGTAAAGATATTGGTAGAGCGTGTATATAAAGAATTAATTAATTAAAGATTAATTATTTTATAAATATTTTTCACCATAATTTCTTACATTTTATAATAAAATACTCTAGATTCCCCAGCCTCTGCAGCTGGAATTAAATGTTCATCCAATACAGCAAGAATATCCGAACACACTTCGGAGAGTTCAGCTTCTACTTTTTGACGATATGCTTTAATCTTTTGAACTTGAGTATCATTCCCCTTGTTTTCTTCTTTTTGTTCAATAGATGAAATAATTCTCCAAGATGCACGACGGGCACCAATTACATTTTTATAAGCAACCGAAAGGAGATTACGTTCTTCAACAGTAAGTTCTACACCAAGCTAAAAATAAAAATAATTATCAATGAAGTGAATAATTAATTATAGTAAAAAAATTACTATTTGATCAATGTATTAAAAATAAAATGATAAATTACCTTGGCAACGTCCTATCATTGACACAAACAATAATTAGACGATGAAGATGAATGACAATTAAGACTTTTTTCTAATAATAATAATAATAATAATTTACGTACTTTCATGTAGGAAACCATTTCTAATTGATAATTCAAGAAATTCAATTATCATGAAAAGAAATCATATTTAATTGATGTGAAATTTCAATTTTATTTAATTAATTAAAGAAACAAAATGAGAGTAAAGAAAAAAGAGACGATTACCATCATATCTTTCAGCTTGCTCAGCGAGCTTAGCCATGTAAACCTTTAGTAATTCATTAATTAATAGTCAATATATATATATAGACAGAAATCAATATAATTTGTTTTGATAACTAATATACAATTATATTAAAGATGATACACGGTTTCAAAATACCTGGTTTTCGCGTGCCTAAAAAAACCAAAAATTTAAAGAAGACATTAATTCATTAATTTATTACAAATACCATGTTGAGTTAATTTTTTGCTTTTTAAAGCTAAAAAGAAGAAAAAACTTTTTATGCTTGTTTGATAAAATACTAGTTATCATCCTTTACTCATGTCCATCATATACCGCCAATCATATTTATTGAACTTCATAGTTAAACACTAAAAAATAAGAAAACTTACAGTAATAGCCATTGTTATTGTACTTTGTGTGTGGTGGAAGGGGTCAAAGGAGTCTCTTTTAGTTTTGAAAGGAATAGTTTTTTTTGGGGGGTAAAGACAAACTGATGCAAGTGACGGTTAATAACTGGAAACTCTTTGAGCAGGCCGGAGTAAATGATAAATACACAAACAGTTTTTGACTAGATAGTTTACAAATAAATAAATAAATAGCATCATCTATAATTTTGATTTAATTTGATCTTGTTGGTTTGTATACCATGCCATTTCCACCTCTTTTCTAGTAAATCTGATGATTGAATGAGATGAGCGAGTAGGTGAGTTGATCACTTTATTAATAAATAACCTAATCATGATAATTTTTTTTATTTTACTTACCCACACTTTTCATAAAATGGTACATTCTATCATGTATAAATTTGTTAGCATGTGTTTGTGTTTATTAATGTATTTGTGTCAGTGCGTGAAAAATAAACCTCACCTTTTCAGAACAATCCAATATCACTTTGAAA